ATCATATTTTTACTTAATCTCCTCTACTTGTTTGGGAGGGGCCATTTGCCTTTCCATGTGATTGTGTGTGTCAGTTGGGGGTGGGGGGTAGGTAGTGGCTAAATCTCATAAAAGGGTTTCCTAATATGGGCTGTCTCTCACAGAGCCCCGCCTTCCTGCTTGAAGTAGGTGGGGTTTACACACTCTCTCGACCAGTAATCACACAGCATAGACTTACTTCCTCATTAATTGGCTGGAACCAGTTCCTACAGGAACCGCCAGTGATAAATGTGAGAGTTCTGAGAAATCATTCATTTCTTCCTTCAGCCTAGCTGAGGGACATTACAGGGGAGTGTGGATGGCTCCCTGTGTGAGCATGCCGTCAGGACAAGCTTTTTTTCTTCTTGTGTGCATCTCTCTCTGTGTGTGTTTTTTTTCCCTCCATCATTTTTAAAGTGCTTAGGATATGTAGTTCCCAGAACAAGCTGAACTTTAGTTTTTTTTTTCCTCCCTTATTTGAGTTTCTGTCTTTTGGGATAACAGAGCTCGGTCTCTATCTCCCTCTCTCTGCGAGCGGAGAGAGGAGAAGCGGGGTAAAGGAAACTCACTGACCTTTCAGAGTCGGTAAGTGAAATTTATGTGACCTCTCTCTCTTTCACTCTCCCTCCCTTTCTTTCTCCGGTCTCGTCCCCTCCGCCTCTTCTCCTTTTCTGTCACAGAGCTTTTCCCCTGTTTGGCGCCTCTCTGCAGAAGCCTTTCAGGGAGTACCTTGAGGCCCAGAGGGCAAAATTACAACACCGGGCAGCGCGCAGAAGAGGCCACCCCAATCGTAAGTCCCATCACTCATCTCTTTCGTTCAACCTTTAAATTTGCCTCAATCCCAGACGTGGCTTTTGTATTTTTGTATATTTTTCCTCCATTCCTCCTTTTAATTTATTACGCGCACCCCTATTTCTTTTTTGTTCCACATCCTAATTACCTCCCTGCCCTAATTATCGCTTCGAGACTGGTTTTATTCTACCGTGTGATTCTGTTGAGGTGTTATTGTTTGCATGTGGTAGACCATAGTGTCAGGGGCTCCGCGTGGGCCGTGCGGTGGTTGGTTGCGGGGGCCTGTTCAGGGTCTGGCTGAGGAGAGATGCTGAGTCATACTCCGAGCTCTTTGAGTGAACCGGACACTCCCCCGCGTCACACTAAACCCCCCGAACCCTGTTGAACCAGCGCAGGCTGCCGGAGACGGGAGGGGCCCCTGGGAGTAAAAGAAGAAGGAGGAGGGTTGGGGGACGTTGGGAAGGGAAGCAGGAGGAGGGGAGAGGTTGAGGCTGTACTCTCGATTCCTGCCACCGCTGTTCCCTCACAAGTGCGCACGGAAACAAAGAGCTACACCTTTTTTTTTTTTTACCTTCGTCTGCCCGTGTGCAAATCATCTAAAGTGTGTTTCATCTAAAGCGCTTTTCCAGCTCGTGTGCATGCGTGCGTACGTGTGGGAGGAGGAAATGAAAGAGAGAGATAGAGAGAAAGAAAGAGATGAAGTTGCACAATGAGAGATTACGGATGTTTCTGGAACAATGTTCCTTTTTTCTGGTAACTTGAACCTCCTGCGGTTACTTAAGGAAAGCTGCGGGCTTGTTCAACCGGTAGGAAGTAACGATGCCACCGTGCGCGTGTCACTAACGTAAATCTTGTTTTAAAGATACAGGGAGAGATTGGAGGGAAATGCATGTGGAGTTGAGTGATTGCTTAACCTGAGATGTTTCTGACGAGTTAATGCATTGATGATTAAGCATAATTGACTGTCTTTTTCTCCTTACAGGTTTTAGAAGATGGTGATCAGCATGGTTTGTTGCATCATAAACTTATGGCTTCCAACAAATGTAAAGCAAAACTAAATCAAGAAACCGATTTTAACCTAAAATCGAATAGCTTCCTCAATCTCATGAGAGCTGCTGTTAGAATAATAGGTTTATTTTTCTCAATTTTCTTTGAGGGTTCTTTTGTAACATGGCTATCGGTTAACATTTTTACTTTTTAATGTGCTTGCTTAGCTTGGTGGTTTGTGCTGAGATACTCATGTTCTCAGCTCTGTCTTGCACAGGTTAACTGATCCCATTGATTGAGATGTTAAGGTGCACTGTGGCTTATGTTGCGTGTGGTCTATTACATTTAAGGGACAGACTGCATTAATTTAGTTTTCAAATGCGTTGTTAGTCACTTTATGTGCTTTGAAATTCAGCATATAACCAATTCACAGCGCTCATATCATTTTTTTAGAATTTGAATTCTTTCAAGTTTCAGAATTTGAATTTAGGTAGCTATAAAAGGAAGTTAATGTAAGGAAACGCTGACTCTAAAGTCGCTATAAGATGTTATGCATATTGACTAGTGCTTGCGTTACATTACTACTTCTGAGGAAAGCTCGTCTTGCGCTCTAAAAGCTTGGTGAATCATAATGTTCCTTTCGTCTAGAGATATTGTTTTGTTTCCCGAGATCCAAAGAGGAGAGGGAGAGGGAGAAGGAGAGAGCGAGTGAGTGTGTGTGTGTGTGTGTGTGTGTGTGTAACCACATGACTCACTACAGGGCCACTCCACCAGATGCAATAACGCATTCAATCAGATTATGAAGCGCGTGTGTTCGGGCACATATGTGCGTGGGCGGCTGCCACATTTCGCGCGTAGCTCCTTAACGCTCATATTCTATACATCGGAAGAGCATCCGGTCATGCTGGAGGATGCCCGCTGCTAGATTGGATTTGACTAACAGATTGTCTGTCAATTTGAAAGGTTAGTGTCTTGCCTCTTTTACAGTGTCGAGTAGTTTCAGTTTAAAACGCTGAAGCATTTTTAGACGCTAGCGCCGTGGTGGTCCCCCAAAACGGCACATTTTGTACGTCTCCTTAGTCTAGTACACTTGATTCAACTCATTAGAGGCTCCGTGTCCTGAAATGGGTGTGTCAGATCTAAAATGTAGAGTGTCGGGGGCCACCGGGACCAGATTGAGAACCACTACGTTACACTGGTGGCATAACAAAAGGCAGCTAACGTCTTGTCCGTCGCTTCTTTTCGCGTCTTTTTTTCTTTTAATTGCTTGTGAAATTATTTTTCGGTGCCTTTTTGTAACGCTGCCCTTGTATGTGATTCTGGAAGCTGCAGGCGTATAAAAAAACGGAACCGTGTGGATTTTCTTTTGCCGTTACCTTAAACGAACCCTCCGCTGAACTCAATGCACTCGCTGCTGGCGTAGAGGATGAGAGGCAGCAGTGTTGCCAGATCTCGTGAAGAAAGCAGGCCAATGGAAACGCTGGAATTTATTGATCAGCATGAAACATTTAGATTACGGAGATTTAAAATATATAAAATTAAATTAAAATAAACCGATTTTATGACATTAATGACTAATTAACAAAATAATGTTTCATGTAAGTATATACTTTTGGAAAAAATAAAGATTTCACATATACAATTTGATATCTGAATTAATAACAAATTTAAAACTTAATTTACAAAAGTAATACGAACTTTAAAAAAACTATCTGTTGACCAAGAATAATGCAAATTGTACTGGTAAATTGTACGAATAATAAATGTTATGTTGTTTTATACAGTGCTACATGCCTGTAACTTTGAAATCTCAAAACATGCATGTGTTCTGCAAACAAACCCGAAAACAGCAAGGCGCGATTGCCAGTATTTATAATTGACTTGATTTAAAGTTGCTTATAATACGCGGATATGGCAACAGTGCTGAGAGAGAGGGAGAGAGAGCGAAGGGGGACGCGCGAGAGAGAGGTTGTCTCAAAATCCAGCGAGACAGTCTTTCTAACGTTAGAGCGCGACGGTGAGGCCCCAGAAAACGCTGCTTTCGATTATCTCACACAGTGCTCCGTTGAATGAGGGGAAGAAAGCTTTCGGTTCTTCCATAACGGGATTTAAATCATTATAGTGTTAGAATTGATGGCCACGCCCCTCGTCCAGCCCCACCCTCTCGTCTCATCATTGGTGAGTTAATTATTCATTATGTGGCTTTATTGGTGTGGACTGTGGACAAGTCTCTCCCAGGCACCAGAAGTTGGTTTGCCATCCGCCATAAAACGTTATTAGAAGAAGAAGAAGTCTCTCCCAGTGTGTCAAATAGCTTATCAGACTGGTGTTGGCTGTTACATTAGCCCGGCGACAACAGTCTGTAGGCTGTCTGACATTTTGGGTTTTTTCATCCCCTGTAGATATCTTGGTTTTTTTAATCCCTGTCTGTTTTTTTTTAGTAGTAGTGGTTGTCAGTTTTATAACCATATTTTTTCTATACTGAAAAATTTTTTGTTTTTTTTGTCTCGATATTGGTGTCTAATTTTAGAGGGGTCGTTATGAAAGAAATATTTCCGAGGTGTGTGTGTGTGTGTTTACAGTGAGCGTGATTGACGTGTTTCTGCGTAGCCTTTCTCGTTGAAGGGCGTGTGTGCCCGCGCGCACGTTCAGCATTTGGTTTTGTCCACTTGAATTTCTTGAGGATCCAGAAAGAACACACCTTATTGCAACACACTCTATGACAGATCTTTTTGCCCACCCCTTCATTTGCACTTGCTCTACAGTCATATAACTGCTCAGTCGTTATCTAACATGTGCAACTGGTATTTGTTATTAAATTAAAAAGATGTCCATTAAGCAATTCTCTCTGTTTTTCTCCATTGTAAAACCACAGGGTGATCTGCTGGCTTTCACAGTAGAGTCGTATCATTTCCTCTAACTGTTCAGAACATCCTGTACTTTAGGGAACCCCCTCTGCCATTCATGTATGTCTGTGTATGTGTCCTGAGTGTGAATCAATAAAGATGAATGAATTAAATGTTAATCCGTCTCCTGGTTTTTGAGTTGAGTTTGATATATTTTATTATTTGAATTTTATGATATATTGTAAGTTTGTTTAGTGTGCTGCAATACAACATGCAACACTAATTGCAGGCTAATAAATGTGATTTCTGCAAGCTGAAGATATTTGAAGTTAAGGTAAATTTTTAAAGTTTAAAATCTAAGATAAAATAAGAGCAGGTAAAATAAAAATACTATACATAGGCCTACATATGTATGAAAATAAAGATGAATAAAAAATAATGAAATTAAAAAGCTTCCGAAATTCAAAGTCCAGGTAAAATTAAAAAAAATATCAAAATATAAAATATGAAATTTTGTAGTAAGATTTACAGTATATTGTTCAGACATCGAAGTTTGTTTAATGCACAACAATACAACATGGAACAATAACTGCAGACAATGAAATGTAATTTCTGCAAAAGTTTAAATTAAAAAATTAGAGCAATTATGTATTTTGTTATTTGAGGTTTATAGTGTTTTTCTCACATCAAAGTTTGTTTAATGCAGAGCAATACATCATGCAACAGTAATTGCAGGCAATGAAATATAATTGCTACAAGCTTCAGAAATTTAAAGTTAAGAATGTTTTAAGTTAACATTTTAGGTTAACAAAAATATTAGTCGTTAAAAATAAAATATAATAAATATAATAATTATAGATACATTTATACATAAATACATATGTATTAAAATAACGATAACCTTTTTAAAATATATAAACACTGAAAAAAAGTCTGTAGTTGCAATAGTAAATCCTTCAAATGTCATTCCTTTATGCGCCAATAAGAACTGATTATTAAAAAAAAACGACTACGAAAATATGTGTACTGTATAATATCCTGTATAATATCATATTCATCCTGTCAGAATGAACTGGTTGTTGGGTGACCCTTCCTTTGGTGATGTGATTAATTCAGGAACGATCACGCCCACTAGCTACAGTTACAGCTTCTCCTCAGGGTTCGCCATCATGCAAATCACTCCTTCAAACAGGTTTTAATATTCAAATAAGGCTTGACATGTTCAGTTGTAGTTTCTTAACCCTCCATCTTATGGCCAATCTTTTGTGTAGGTTGCACAATAAGGTGTTTTTGCTTAGCATGTGACCAAACATCACGCTTTTGCGGGTTTAGTTAGATTTTCAACGTGCATAACTTACCTCGAGCAACCAGTAGGGGGCATAGGTGAACAATTTTAGATATTATTTTTAATACTTTTTTAAAATATAAAAGGTACGCATTAAAATTATTATAAAATAATATTTTAAAATTTGCATATTAACAGGTTTGTAGGCCTAATTTAAAGTGTCCTCACGTTTTACGTACACGAAGTGCATGTTATCTGGGTTAAGGTAAAACTGTAACAGTTCCTCATATACAGTTTACAGCTTTCAAAAGCAAGTGTATTCATAATTAAAACTCTGCTGAAGTTCAGGTGAGTCGGGGGCTTTAACCCGTCTGAATCAATGATGTGCTGTCACCGAATAGGAGAACACTCGCACCCAAGCTGACTCAGGACCAAGTGTAAACGTTATCTGACGCAGATACTGGGTATCTTTACCTCTCACGAAACCCACAGGTATGTATCATTAAAACTAGCAGAAGAATGAGAGTTTGATCAACGGTTAGTTTCCTGCTCTCTTTCTAAACATTTTGGAACAGAACAATCTGTGTCTACAATCTACAACATGAGGCCCGTTTTTATTGCAAACAATTAAGCTTCAAATAGCTTGATATATTATCAGTCTATCAACAGCCATATATTGTGATGTGCATTGTTTTGGTGTCAGGTTGTGTAAAGTATGAATGAGTTATCTGGTGTTTTTTCAATTTGCATGTGTTTTCTTAAGTTACAGCGTGTTGAGCTCTCTCGGCCACCGTAATTATGCCTCGTTTTCAAAAACATACAACTTTGGAAAGTCCCTGTAACTATAATTTGCATAGTGTTTGTTTTTTTTTCTGCTAGGAGCATATGTGACACAAAGTGCCCATTGTGATCCATTCATGTGGTTTTTAAAGTGGGGAGCAGAGAATTGTGGCTACCCAGCACTTTGTAACAATGTATATAGTGTGTGAGCTTGCATCTTTCTTCCAGCCATGCCTTTTGGCGAGCTTGCTGACTTTTGAAAGTAGTTTAGGATAGGAAGAAAGGTTTGAATAATTACCCTCATTCAATAGAATTACCCTTCATGAATAATCCAATATTGGCAAAAATATCAAACTTTTCTCTTACATCGATATCCTCCCAAATCTAAACGGTAAGACACCTAGGCCTAATTATTCTACACAAAATCAAACGTGACCCTGGACCACAAAACCTGTCATAAGGGTAATTTTTCCGAAAGATATACATCATCTGAAAGCTGGATAAATAAGCTGTCTATTGATGTAGCCTATGGTTTGGGACAATATTTGGCTGAGAGACAACTATTTGAAAAAAAAAAAAATCTAAATATTGAGAAAATTGCCTTTAAAGTTGTTCAAATGAAGTTCTTAGCAATGCATATTACTAATCAAAAATTAAGTTCTGATATATTTACGGTAGGACATTTACAAAATATCTTCATGGAACATTATCTTTACTTAATATCTTAATGATTTTTTTTGGCATAAAATAAAAATCATTCATTTTGACCCATACATATATCATATTGTTGGCTATTGCTACAAATATACCCGTGCTACTTGTTATGACTGGTTTTGTGGTCTAGGGTCACAAATATGCTCAAGCAACACAAAATATTTTAATGATACCATAAAATGAAATGTAAGTATATAGGCTATGTGTATACATACTGAAAAAATAGTGTGGGATTTACTTTGAAAAAAACAAGACAATTACAAAGAAACTTGGAAGCAGAAAGACTGAAATAGTATTTTACAACGTAACGTTACCCCAATAATCTTTGTTTTGTGTACAACTTCGGAAAACCTTTCTTTATACCCTCTAATCAGGTGAAGAAACTTGTAGTTATTTCATAATTAAATTATGCTTGAAAACAGGCAGACTGCTGATTATGCAGTAGCTATCAGCACGCACTTGAAGCTCTTGCCAAAAGCAAAACAAGGTTTTTGTCGACACCTACTGGTAGTGCAGCGGTACTACAAGTAACATCAGCTTCCTATACGCATAGAATGACGTGTTTTTGTATCCCTACACCCACTTACCTCAGCTACAACCTTCCGGAGTAAAATGGAAGACATTTTGTGTTTTAATAAATAAAAACGTAAATTTAGTTGTTGACAGTTGTTTTACACATACCGGAGCATGCGCACTGACGCTCTGTGAAACTCGCTGTTCGCCGTGATTATCGTTTACCGGTAGTTAATCTCCGTAGGAATACGTTGCGTAACGTTACCAGAGCCGGTTATGGCGTTGTTGAGTCGTGCCGGACCACGAGGTGTCTGTATTCATCGTTATTCCGGTATTGGTGTGTGTAAAGAGACTTGTGGCTATGGCTGGTGTGTTTGATATCGACCTGGACCCGCCGGAGGACAACGTGTCGGACGAGGAGCTCGCCGACGGGGTATGTATGTAACCGGTAACCGGCTCGGTTTCAGTTTTTCCGCATCGCCTGGACCGGCCTGAGGGTCGATCCGGCACCTTACACGCTTCAGAAACAAGGCAGAAAAGTACTATGGCCACTGTAGTAAACTATTACATGACAATACCATGGTACTTTAATATTTACCATGGTAACGTTACTGTATGATTATTATATGGTTTAAAAGTGTTTTACAGAGAATAGATTTACAAAGTACTTACCATGATATATATATGACAAAACATGTCAATATCGTTATTATAAGTGGACATATTAGTCTGTTTTAATACGATTTTAGAGTATAAATTAGCTTAATATGGTTAAGCTAGCTTAAAATGGTTTCTAGCTGGTCTAAGCTGGACATTAGCTGGTTCAAGCTGGTTGTTAATATGATGGATCTTCTTGGACCAGCTATAAACCAGTTGGTCAAACTGAAGATATTCTATCTAGCTGATTTTTTAAAGCACATATTAGCCAGACATAGTGACCAACTCAGACCAGCTAGAAACACAGCTACCTGCTTAAACTAGATTTTTGGATACCTAGCTTCAGAATTGTATTAAATATGAGAGAAATTAACCTTTAAAACATTTCAGCTGCAGTTACTTTTTATAACACTGAAATTAAAGCAAAATAGACATTAGAGGCTAAAAGTGTTCAAAAGTTTGACGGAAGTTCTCATGTCAGATTTTTAGACTAGCTTTGCTCCTGAATTACTTCTGAAACCACAGAAAATCCTCTGTAGGTCCAACTTGCCTTGGTCTGACACTCTCTGTATTGTTAGACTGGGTCTTGTAATGTGATAACAGCGATCAGTGACCTTGATACTCCAGTTGATGGAAAAGAGCCAGTGCGCATCAGTCACCGGTATAGATTGAGCTTTAATGGCCGTGTCAGATCTGCAAACTGTGCATTTGGTGGAAAAGCTGCAGAGATACAAAAAAAAAAAAAAACTGCAGTCCACACCTCAAACACTCTAAACCTACCATAAACACCAAAAGTTTGTTTCTGTCCACAGGCCAAGAGTAATGAATGCATGGACCAGTGCAGTGGCTTTGAATTGTGAGTATGTCAAAGTGGTCCTAATTATATTTGTGTAATTTGATGAGGTCATTTGAATTTAGCCCCTCAAAAAGTGAAATGTCTTCTCTTGATATTTTATGTTGATATTTTAATGTTTTGGAGCAGTATGGAAGACTGCGAGAAGTTCGAGATCTCCGAGAACAGTGTGAATCAAGGCACGGAGCAGATTCGTCCGGAATGTTTTGAGTTGCTTCGTGTTTTGGGTAAAGGAGGATATGGCAAGGTAAGCAAGACTAGCTGTGCTACCCAGTGTTTCCTCCCTGCATGTGGTGTAGTTTGAACACATAAATAATGCTGCAGAATAAAAGTTTGTGGTCGGTAAGAGTTTTTGAAAGAAGCTTCTTATGTTGATTTATTTGATTAAAAATACAATAAATACAGTAGTATTGTGATATATTATTATAATTTAAAATAAATGCTTTCTATTTTAATAGGTTATAATGTAATTTAAAGTATTTGCAATTTGCTGAATTTTCAGCAAAGAGTTGTTGCTTTCATACATTTTTTTCAGGATTTTTTAATGAATTTTTTGATGAATAGAAAGCTCAAATGAACAGCATTAATTTGAAATAGAAAGCTTTTGTAACATTATAAATGTCATTACTGTCACCTTTGATCAATTTAATGCATCCTTGCTGAATGGTATCCATTAATTTTTGTAAAAAAAAAATCGTACTGACTTTTGAAAACAATATTGTACGTAATTTGTTTGCACTGAGGTTTTAATGCTTTTAGTTTTCGTTTGCAGATTTTTATTGTAGATCTAACTGTGCCATTTTTATTGGACTGTCATCTTAGCCTATATATGTTAATGGTCCTTTTCTGTTTAAAAAAACAGGTTTTTCAAGTTCGCAAGGTAACAGGGGCAGATTCTGGGAAGATATTTGCCATGAAGGTCTTGAAAAAGGTATGGCCCCCTAAAATTCCCTGAAAGTCAGCATGGGTTGTTCCATCATGCCTGGTCCTGCTGGTTAACAGATTGTATTGGTATGGTTTGCTGCAGGCCTGTGAATAATGTCTAAGGAATGTTTCATCATTACCTATAAACAGTTTCGATAATGATTGTTTGTATAGTTTTAGTGTGTTTTTCCTTTTCGCAACAGCTGATCAAATTGTTTAATATTAGAATCACTTATTTTGTCACTTTGCATTTGCAAACAAGTGGATCATAACAGAAACACACTGTAGCATTCAATAGTAGGAATATGGCTTTGCTTAAAATGCTTAGTTTAAGGTATTTAGAACACAAGGCACTATAATAGCATACTTAACAGAGTCTAATTTGGCAAGACCACGCATGAGTGGCAGATTTGGTCATTTATCAACATTGTAGAAAGATATGATGTGGTCACAATATGATGCAATCTCAGTCGACCAGATTTGCATACTAACAGAATGTGGGTCTGCTCTTATCAATACTCTTCATTGTACACTGTAGCTGTTTTAGCTAAATTATCTTTACACCACTCTATAACAGAAGCAGTGCAAGCGATGGCTGTGTACTGAGGCCGTGGATGCAGTTTAATTATTTTGAGATTGATGCTGCATTGTTCTCTGTGGTTTGCATGATTGAAATGCTGCGGATTCCATTCCCAAATTAGATTTGCACACGTCTGTTTATTGCAACAACAATAAAAGCATTAATGACACCAGCCTGATGAGTTCACAGCTGTGATTAGGGGTGGTACAACCCTCCATCGAATAGATGTTCACAGGAAGAAAACGTACAGACATTGCTTGTGTGCTTGGCATTTACTTAAAAACACAGCATTTCTTAATGTATTCTGTTGCTTTTGTCTGTTTCAACAGGCCATGATAGTTCGCAATGCAAAGGATACTGCTCATACTAAAGCAGAAAGGAGCATCCTAGAGGAAGTTAAGCATCCCTTCATTGTGGACCTCATATACGCCTTTCAGACTGGAGGCAAACTTTACCTCATCTTGGAGTACCTAAGCGGTGAGTTCAAAACGGCTACTGGTGCTTCCTTGAGCACAAAAGTCACCAAATCCTGAACAGAAATAAATTCTAGCAGTAGTATTATTTGTCTTGGCTTTGAGAAAAAATTGAATCATGACTTGTTTTCGAGAATGTATCTGGAATCATGTTTCTGTAACAGGTGGAGAGCTGTTCATGCAGCTGGAGAGGGAGGGGATCTTCTTGGAGGACACAGCCTGGTAAGTGGAGCTTTATCAGTCTTATCAGGGGTCAAGATGACCTGTCTGCTGTCTGGTTGAAACGCCTTTGTTGTGTGTAAACGTTGATCTTGTCCAGGAGGCTTTCAAAATTCATTGGCTTAACAAATGTAGTTTGTACAGCCTACCCAAATGCTGCTTTGGTAGTTTGTCCGACCAAATATATGAAATTCCTTGAAAATTATTGGAAGCAATGATCATTATAGCTGTTAATTTGTAAAAATTTTCATTAGTATTTTTTAATATATAAATGTGTATATATTGTGATGCTTTGGAGAAAATCTGAATTATTAAAGGGGTTGTTCTATCCAAAAAAAAATCTGTCATTATTTTCTTACCCTCATCGTCGTTCCAAACCTGTATGATTTTATTTTTTTCTTTGTAACACACACACACACACATATTTAATTATTTTACAAATATTTTTAATGAGTCTTTACATTGTTATTTTCTGTACAACAATTCATTGTGACCAAGAGCTGTCAAGCTCCAAAAAGGAATAAATCACCTTGAAAACTGCCTGGATGACTGTTGCACTATATATTAGGAATCTTTTGAACCCTAATTTATATCGGAAAATAAAAATAAATATAAAAAAAAATTAATAAATACATAAAAACATTCAATTTAAAAATAGCTTGAATGTGATACAATAATAATACAATTTTAATTTTGTTTAACAAAGAAAATAAATGTTTGAATCCATTGATTTTGTGAGCATTTCAGTTTCTATAAACTTTATTTATTTATTTACTTACTTACTTGCTTAACTACCTACCACCCTCTAATTTTATTTCCTTCCTAGTTTTTACCTGGCAGAGATTTCCATGGCCTTGGGTCACCTTCATCAGAAAGGCATTATCTACAGAGATCTGAAGCCAGAGAACATCATGCTCAATAACAATGGTAATAAAACACTCATACACACACGCACACCTCTGTCCTTTTATCCCAGATTGTCCTCAAACTTGCACCACTGCCTGTTCAATAAAGACTGTTCTCCTCTGGATGTGCTCATTTCATTCTCATCTCAGGTCATGTGAAGTTGACAGACTTCGGACTCTGTAAGGAGTCGATCCACGATGGTACCGTCACACACACCTTCTGTGGAACCATAGAGTACATGTATGTACAAACTCACATTTTCACCCAATTAAAGGTGCACTAAGCGAATTTTGCTAAACGATGTTGATATTTGAAAGCACCAAAACAAACACGCCCATACCCCAACAGGACCCTGCACCTATTTTGATATCTCCGCCCCACATGTATGTACACAACCGGTCGCTGTGATTTTGCCAAGTAAGACATGTTCCTGGATCAACATCTTTTGTTGATCCTGGATCAACATTACTGTCCAAAAATACAGACTTAACCCAATCCCTACCCCTAAACCTAACCTTACCCATAATTTATTCCTAAAATCAGAGGGAAATGATAGCTGATTAACAAGGGTGTAGAAGCACCTAATCCTGATTGTAAGCCTAAAACTGACATTTCCTGAAAAGTTATCCCTCAATTCTGATTGGTTGATTGGAATGATGTTCCTAGATCAACAAGGATATTGATCCAGGAACATGTACTTGGTCAAATCACGCTCACCGTACACAACCCTGGCAACGACGATGGCGGAATCTGCTATGCCTTCAGGCTGAGGGTATGATGTCATGAATAAGTGAAAGCAATGTGTGTTACTATGGTAATTCAGGTCGAATGTGTTTGGTAGTAGAGTGTTTTAATGTTTGAATGGTTTAGTTCCATTTCACGTGGAAGATGACATTGCTCCGATATTTACGCAGGTCCTACCTCTTGCCTGATCGTAACCCTTCTTTTTAATGTTTTGTTCCTCTGATATTTCCCTTTTATTTTTTTGTTCCCCCGATCTGCTAATATCAGTCCTGTGCACTCCAGCTGAGCGCTTTCTTCTCCCCATCCATACTAGACACGCCCCTTACTGCTGATTGGCAGGAAGTGTGTTTTGGGACTCGGTCCAACACTGTGGTCAAAAGCGTTTTCAAATATTGCTTAGTGCACCTTTAAACAAACTTGTTTATGCTAATGTAACTTCTAGATGTAAATGGCTATTGTAAAAACAAAGTTCATCAGAATTGGCCAAGTTGATACTGATGTTGTACAAACCATGAAAATTTCTAAGCAGCCTGTTTTTGCATCTTTTTCTCAAATAAATGGTCTGTGTAGGCTAGAAAGGGAGCTTTGTTTTGTTTACCAACTTGAACTTCACTTTAAAAGAGCAAGAAAAATCATGTTTTCAACAATGTGGCCTCTTGAAAGTCCATACAGAGCAGTTCATGGAGGTCAGAGACTCCATCAATCATGTCAACTGAAGCCTTATTTGGGGCCTCCGGTGTCATTTAGGTCAAAGTAAAAAAAACTGCAGCACAAAAAATGGTTGGTGTGAAGGCCTTTTCTCTCTTCACTCATTCATTCCATCTCTCTCTCTTTGTTTCTCTTGTCCTCTCCCTCTTTCAGGGCACCAGAGATCCTCATGAGAAGCGGCCATAACCGAGCTGTGGACTGGTGGAGTCTGGGAGCACTGATGTATGACATGCTGACAGGAGCTGTGAGTGTCCCATCTTACATCTCCTTCCTGATATGTTGCTTCTCCATTAATGTTTTACAGTAAGTTAAAGACAAAGTAGGTCAGAAAGCTGTATATAATATCGGTAGATAAATATATACATATAGATTATATATGTACATATACATATAAATGCATATATGGAGGGAGAGGGAGAGTAGTGTATGTAAATACATACACTACTGGACAAAAGTTTGGGATTAAATGTTTTTGAAATAAGTCCTTTATGCTCACCAAGACTGCATTTATTTATATATATATATATATATATACGCATGCATACATACATATACAATATACAATCTCATAAACCTCCTGCCATTCATTAACTTTAGTTTTCAGTTAATTAGACAGAGGAAGACCTTACATCTTGACAAGGAATACGTGTGAAAATTCATTATTGATAATCTCTGGTGAGGTGTTCTATTGACATTTTTTTGCTAGACAGAGATTCTGTTGACCTAGTTTGTGACCTCTTTAGACACTGTTGACTGTGTGAACCCAAAAATAACTTTGATGGAACTTTATTCAAACAGTTAATGTAAACAAATTTAGATAAAACCTGGAACCAACACTACATGACCAAAAGTATGCGGACACCTGAACAGCGTATTTGTATGCACTTGTTTGACATTTAATTCTAAATCTGTTGGCATTAATACAGGGGTTCTCCTACAAAACCGCTTCCACTTTTCTTAGGCCTCATCCACACGGAGATGCATTTAGCTGTATACGTAAACATTTTGTATCATATCGGCGTTTCGTCCAGACGGATCCGGCATTTTGGGAGCCTGAAACCGCTATTTTTTTAAACCGGGTCCCAACTTCTGCTCAACAAGGCTGCATTTATTTGATCAAAAATACAGTAAAAACAGCAATATTGTGAAATATTACAACTAAAAGTTCAATTTCTATTGTCTAATTTTGTTCAAATAAAATTCTGTTTCTAATATCTATTTAAAAATTAATTTTTTTCCCCTGCAATGGCAAAGTTGAATTTTCATCAGCCATTACTTGACAATCAGTGTCATATAATTCTTGAGAAATTAATCTAATATGCTCATTTAATGCTCAATTTATTTGATCAGTTTTTTATATGGTGATGCTTAATATTTTTGTTTTTCTTTGATGAACCCTTGCGTTTTCATGTGTACAGCCAATCCGTATATTTTGTGAAACCATGATGTCATCACCCCGCGTCTGCGCATGCTCCAAGTCTTCTTCTCCGTTTTTAGGGTTGTGGCTAGAAGGGATACAGCTAAAAGCGGAAGCTATCAATAAATGTAATTTTCTACCTATTAGATTGTGTTTTATTAACTCCTACACCTACCCCAACCCTAAACCTACCTCTTACGATAATGCAGTGTGACAAAAATTATGCTATATTGATGTGCGCATGCCCAGTAGACGAATCTGTATACCATCTAACCTTAACCCGTTTTTAGTGTATTTCTGTGGCAGAATTACAGTGCCACATACTGGTCTCGCATGTATACTACATCATTTGTGGTTTCAGTGGCAACCGAATCTGGTTTCAGTGGTTTTGTATGTACGCAGATATTTCTTGAGACGGCGCCGTGTTTACAGAAGAACGAGGAAAAACAAAAGTTTGGATAGGGAAAACTCTGGCTGAGTTGTGGATGAGCCCTTAGAGGACTAGATGCTAGATGTTGAATGTAATTTCCTCCCATTCAGACAGATTTAAAAACAAAACAAGCATTATTGTGAAGACATCAAGTGACTTATGAATTTGTGCACAGAGTACAAACTAAGTTTACCCAGACTGTTCTTTAACCTCTTAACTTTCTCCTTCAGCCACCATTCACTGCAGAGAATCAGAAAAAAACCATAGACAAAATCCTAAAGTGCAAACTGAACCTTCCACCTTACCTCACCCAAGAAGCACGGGACCTTCTGAAAAAGGTAAAAGTCTTAAGGTCAATCAGGTTTCACGCCAATGTGGAATTCTCCTATTGCTCAACTAACGGGGTTGTGTATTTGTGTGTGTTCACACCCAGCTGCTGAGAAGAAACGCATCAACGAGGATGGGAGCAGGTCCTAGAGATGCTTTAGATGTCCAGGTATCTGCCCTTATAATACAGTGGACTTATTGTCATAAAAGCAGGAGATTGCATATAGTGGCATTTTATATATTTTAAAAACAGTTTTATTTTTTTAGGCCCACTCCTTCTTCAGACACATGAACTGGGATGATCTGCTGTCTTTTAAAATTGAACCTCCCTTTAAGCCTTTTTTGGTACGAGATGGTGTTTTCTCTCTCTGTACAATCAACTGTTTGTCTCTTTTATTGCGTGTTTAGAGTTATTATTATAGAGCTCATGATATAGTATCTGATGATAACTCCTCACAGAACTCTATTTCTGCAGCGATCAGCAGATGATGTTAGCCAGTTTGACTCCAAGTTCACTAGTCAGACTCCCGTGGACAGTCCCGATGACTCAACACTCAGCGAAAGCGCCAACCAAGTCTTCCTGGTCAGTTTGTTTTCCTGGTCACCTTTTGGGCTAAATTTATCTCTGCACTTTTTAAATATATGGTCTTTCCACCAACACTATACTGCTGTGAGGACTCCAGCTGTATTACATTTATTTAAAATGCACCAATAAGTAACTTTTTTTTAATGTTTATTGGCCAATAACAGAATAGAAAATATTACAAGTATGATATTAACAATATTATGGGCTACTGATAGTATAGGGTACTGCTTTGTATACACTACCATTCAGGGGTCATAAGATTTTTTTTTAGGGTTTTGAAAGAAGGCTTTTATGCTCACAAAGGCTGCATTTATTTAATCAAAAATACAGTAATATTGTGAAATGTTATAATTTATGTCATTTTATATTTAAAAAAGACAGTAATATTTGTAAAATGTTATTATAATTTTATATTTAAATATATATTAAAATGTACACTACCGGTCAAAAGTTTGGGATCATAACGATTTTTAATGTTTTTTACAGGAGTTTCTTATGCTCATCAAGGCTGCATTTATTTGATCAAAAATACAGGAAAAAATGTAATATTGTGAAATATTATTATAATGTAAAATAAAGTTATTCTATTTTAATATACATTAAAATGTAATTCATTCCTGTGGTGGTAAAGCTGAATTTTCAGCATCATTACTCCAGTCTTCAGTGTCACATGATCCTTAAAAAAATCATTCTAATATGCTGATTTATTATCAGTGCTGAAAACTGTTGTGCTGCTTAATATTTTTTTGGAACCTGTGATACTTTTTTTTTCAGGATTCTCTGATGAATAAAAAGTTAAAAAAGAAGAGCATTTATTTGAAATAGAAATCTTTTCTAACAATATACATTACAGTTCAAAAGTTTGGGGTCAGTAAATTTTTATTCTTCCTTTTTTTGAAAGAAATTAAATCTTTTATTCAACAAGGATGTGGTAAATTGATAAGAAGTGATAGCAAAGATTTATATTGTTAGAAAAGATTTATATTTTAAATAAATGCTGTTCTTTTTAACTTTTTGTTCATCAAAGATTCCTGAAAAACGTATCGCAGTTTCCAAAAAAAATATTTGGCAGCACTGTTGCCACCATTGATAATTCTAATAATAAATCAGCATATTAGAATGATTTCTATATATGTATATATACACTAACTAATCGAAATGTGTATTGATTCCCAGCCCTGTGATTTTGTAGGGAATGACATTGATTTCATTTATCTGGGCTTTAAGTCCAAGATTGTGTACATGCTGTAACATGCTTATCTAGTCATGTTTATCCTGGTTTTGCATTTGTGATTTAACATGAATCGAGATCCATAACCCGTGATGCCATACTTGCTTTTTCCAGCCCTGTGAAGGCTGAAGGGGTAGACGGTTGGACTCGGGGTCCACCCTTCCCAGAATTGCCCACAACCACCTCCTCTCTCCTGCCGCCCACTGATACGCCCATGGAGGTGTCTAATGTGGAGCAGCTGGACATTAGCAGCAACATGGAGGTGTCAGCCCCTCTCCCCATCAAAAAACCATCCAACACAGGGCCATTCGTGAAACCAACTCACCCAGCGGGTGGCAGGAGACCCAAGCATTTAAGGATGAATCATTGATGAACGTCTTAAGTTTTGTATTTTAGGAATTTATCAAATTACCCAAAAGGCCTTTCTGCACCCAGTTTCTGTCTCTTAAACACTTGCCGCACTAGTGTACTTCATGCAAGCATGCAGAGCTGTGACCTCTCTCTGCTTGCATTATGGTGAGGGGGGCTGCTGCTTGCGATGAAAAAGAGAACACCTTGTACTCTGAGCATGAATTTCACAGTTTATCTTTTCTATGCCATGCTCATGCAAAACATAAGGGAGAATACATAGTATCTTCTGTTGTATATTTGAAGTTTGATCTGAGACACTGAGTTTGAGCCACTTGTTACTGTGTTTTGCTTGACTGTATGTTCTAACTACAAGTAACTATTTAAATGGATAGTTCACCCAAAAAATATAAATTCTGCCATGTACTCACCTTTGTCATTCCAAACCTGTATAACTTGCCTTCTTTCTTCTGTGGAACACAAAAGAAGATTTTCTCAGCGTTTTGTTGTTTTAGACCGATTGACTTTCATTATGTGGACAAACACAGTTGTATCGTGCTTCAAAATGTCTTCTGTTGTGTTTCACAGAAGAACAGAAAGTCATACAGGTTTGGAAAGACATGAGGGTAAATGATGACATAATATTAATTGTTTGGTGAATTGTCTTTTTAAAATGGCAAGACGATCCAGGTCTACATTCTTGAGGAATCTGTCTGATTTGCTTTGTTTTTGATTCTTAATTCATCAATAGTTGTTAGGACCCCTAGAATCACAGATGTAGGGTACTTGGAGCTCTATAGTCGTGTTAGTCTAACCTACCAATGATAAACTATGAAGTAAAAATGTAATTTTTTTTTCTTTGCTGCAGGTTCATGAGACAGTGTTAGATGACCTCAAGGCATTATTCTCTTATTTTGATCTGCTCTTGATTACATGTAAAATTCATACATTCAAGTATGAATCTACCTGCACTCTGGGCATCAAATCACTGTTTTTCTTTTCAACAGTAAAAAGCTATTTAACAACCAATTTTCTGACCAAAGAATTTTAAAAATACTATATTACTATATAATACTGGATAAATCCTCATAATCCAGAGTACAGTTACTTCTTTCTAAGCCACATCCAAAAACACAAATTCCAGTAATACTACTGACTTTAAACAGAATGCTTATTTAATTTATTTAATTTTTAATCCTAATATTGAAGACACCAAGACGAGTTTTGAAATAGTTTCCTTAACACGTCCCCTATCAGTAATTGATTTTTGTCCCCCCTGAATATGTGTTTTGACCTATTTATTTTTCAGGTGCTGTATAGATTTGTAAACTATGCAAATTATTTATTCTTTATAGTCAAAAATGCTATTCAGGATTTAGCCGGATTAGTAACATGAACACATGCCTTCTTTCTACAAAGGTGTTGGGAGTCAAAACAATTTTATTATTCTCTGGGACATTAAAAATGTGATTTTAAATATGTTTTCAGGATGTGCACTGTACACTAGAAAACCACTGGATTATTTATTGTTTTATTGAATTTTGATTAAATAAGCTTGGATATATGTGGTTAAGGGGAAAGAAAATCTCTATTCTATATCAATCCAGAATGATGGAAGCATAATAAAGTAGTAAATCTTTCCCAAAAAACAAAAAAAAGTATTTATTTCATTGCTGTACATAGACATGATTCTTCATGAATGTTGGTGCTCTTTCCTTGTATTATAGTTCTTACAGATACAGTATGTATTGTATGATGAAGTGACTCCTTGAACCGGTGGACACTGAATCTGCATCTTGTTAAGATTGTGCTGTACGTAAGCCATCTTGGGTGGTTCTTTGTATCGTGTTTCACAGGCATTCCTGTGCTCATAGAAGTGTTATTGTTATCAATGAACATCTGCGTGTGAGGCTGCGATTGCGTCAATGACCGCATTTTTTCCCATGGGAATGTAAAATAGGCTTGTTTTCTGCTTGAGAACATTGTTCTGGTGTGACATTGTAACTCACTGATTGATGTTTAGCTCACATCCTCAAACTCTAATTTCCATCGTGTAGATTGTAATTGTGGTTGGACATTAGGAGGCCATTGCTCTGATTGAACTGTCTGGACTTTGCAGCAGTTTCCATCAAGCCAATAATTGGCTGTACTCACTATGCACAGGAAGCATGATTGTGAATATCTTAAGCTGTCAGATACAGTGCCTACTGATAAACAACAGCCTGCTGTACCGTGGCAGTTAACAGCCAGTAACGGCTTCGTATGTGAAAGCCTTTGATTTTGAAATCTGTGCGAGACCAGCAGCTTAATTAAATTGCCTCTTAACTGGTACTTTGACTATGGAAGCATCCCATTTTGCCTTCGCATACACAAATATCTACCTTTTATTCTATGCAATGCTGGCTGAGAGAGAGGGCTCTGTAATGTGGCGTAAATGGCTTTATGTATCACTTGTGTCAGTCTGATGAGTTGGATGTTGTCCATGAGCCCAGTCCATATAATCACTAGACTCATGGCGTAGGTTTAAAACCTCTCAAACCGTCTCCCACTGATTCTTGCAGTCATGTTGGAATATTAAGACATAACTTGGTGCTATGTGTTAATGGTCTGTTTTTTTATCTTCATTAATATATGTTCTTTATAAAAATGTAATGTGGTGTGTAGTTGCGCTTTAGAAAGAGTTGAACTAAACCTGATCTTGGAAATCTGTGGTACTCCTTCAGGTTAGAGTTGGAACCAATTCTGAAACTTCCTGGATTATAAAGTAAAAAGAAAATGCCTGTGAAAAGAATTGAGATGCAGATGAGGATGCATTTTAAATGCAGATGCTTGAAGTGCTGTGTTTATTAGACAGTGGCACGTTTGGTTTAAACAATGAATGGATGTAAAGTATGGAATGGCGAGATTGATTGATTAATATCTGGTGTTTTGTGATTGCTCGTGTTTATTTTAAAATTCATTTTAATTTAACCTTAGTGAATTCTACAAAATCAATAAAGTTTAATTCGAGCATTTACCAAGCAAACCTGCATTTACTGGGCAAAGCATTTCAGTGACACTTTTTAACAGATTGAAAAATTTATTTGGTCAAATATACTGGATAAAAATACAACTGTAACTGCATACTGCATGATGATACTAAAATAGATATTTCGTCTTCAAAGCTTTGGTTTATTACAGTGTAAGTACAACATGATTAGAAAAATACCATGTATCTGTGGAAAGGCCTGAATTACAATAATAATAATTCAAAAGCCATTGTGTGTTGTTCAGTCACAAAAATCACATGGTTGCAAAATTCTAATGCTACATCATTTGATAAATCAGTAGTTCATGTGCAAATAACTCACATTCAGATTATTACCAAAGAAATCAGAATACTTCAAATTGAATGCAAAATACAGAACTCTTTATGATTGGAGTCTAAAATGCATTTAAAACAAATTCAATTGCAAAAACCACAGTATCTGACAAAGGATCATAAAAGACCCAGTATCCATGAAAAATAAAACAAAACAAAAAAAATTAAAATACATTTAGGGAGACGACAACTGAATTTCTGCCACATTATTTGTGAGTGTTTTCTCCACAAATACAATATGAAGAAATCCATTTGTCTCCACTGTATTTGTCTGCTTACACCCACAAGGTAATTAGTAAAACCAGAGATGACATGCAAGAACAAAAAGAGGAATATAAATTATAAACACAAAAAAATAAAGGAGTCCCACATGCGACAATAATAATAGTTATAATAATAATAATACAAGAGCTGGTGAAAACACTTGTCCTTTTGACAAGTTATCTATATTTCAAAAATTCAAAACTGGAGCTTTTTCTAGAGCCCTTTGCCTTATAACAAGTGCTGGAGATGTCTGAGAGGAACAATCCACATTCTGTGGATCCACTGCTGGCTGAATGCTTCAACATGCCACAACACTGTGTTACCGTCTTTTCAGTGAGATTTCAGTATATTTGTAAATAAGCTGATGTTGCACCATCTTTCCACTTATGCACCTTGTCTGTGATGACAGTGCGGCAGAGAGGGCAGGTTCTCTCCTGGTTAAGCCACTGGGCGATGCACTCCTCACAGAAGATATGCTGGAGACAATCAAACAGTAAATATTTGACATGTATGCACATGCATTATGTGACACTGTGTATTACATCTACAGAAACAAAAGTCATGTGCTGAAAGATAAAAAAAAAAAAAAAAAAGTGGACAAGACACATTGTAACATTCATTGCTTATTAGCCTTAACTGAGTACTAGCTGTAGTAAAATTACCGCCAACACATTTGTCTGTTTACAGAAAAATAAATAATGTAAATATGATTATGATCATCTTGTAAAATAATCATGTAGTTTTGAAAAAGTAATTTTTAAATATTCAAAAAAGACTGTACAAAAAACATTGCTGGCTAAATGTTTTCATATACAGTGGGTACGGAAAGTATTCAGACCCCCAATTAACTTAAATGATTTTAGCAAATGGCTGCAATATAACAAAGAGTGAAAATTTTAAGGGGGTCTGAATACTTTCCGTACCCACTGTATATATCAAGAAGAGGGAGATGCAGAATAATATATTAATCAAACAGTTACTAAAATGTATCATTTTATTTTTACTTGAAATAATTATGTTGCTACAGAGTTGCTGGAAAAATATTTTTAAAGGCAAAAACTGACAAAAATGTAAGGAACTCGTATATGAAATACTGATTATTTTTTACAAAACTTGATTTTTACAAAAGAATTACATGAGCTAATTTTCTCATTTAAAATGTCTTTTTCATGTGGGTTGAGATTAGCTTTGTAATAAATACTGCGCTCAAGAAGCTTTATGGTTTAGCCTGGGAAAGTGGAGGTTAAGTGGAATGACATTGGAGGTCAAACTCAAGGCCCACATTCTCACCTGACACACGAGGACCCGAGGCTGCTTAAAATCAGCCTGACAGATCGGACAAATGTCACCTGCCTCTCTAATCTGAGCAGGACTGGCTGGAGCTCCGTTCACCTTTACAGAAAGGTAAAAACAACATTAAACCGCACATACAGAAAACAAGACATTTGTCTATAATTCACTATTTGTGTTACAGATTACCCAACAAATATTTCAGACTAAGAGGAGCACAGGACAGGTAAAAGGCGATCTTTTGTACCTCAGGACTGAAAAAAGTCCGTAATTGTTTTTGCAATGATCCTGACAGTCCATACAAGGCCAAAAGCTAAAAATAAGAAACATAATAAGATCAGATTATTGGGATGTCTCCTAATAATGTATTGGTTTCAAACAGCAGCTTATTGTAATGATTGTACTCACCTTCATTATGAGGTAGAGCAAGGCTAGCAGGATTCCCAGAGTCAGACCCACTGAGGTGTCCATCTCATCGTAGCTGACCAGATAGCGGAACCAGAGTGGGACAGGAGCGATCACTTGATACAACTGACCCACCTCCTCTATGAGCATGTACCACTGACCCTATGGAAAGCAGGATGGATACGGTGAAGCTAACATTTAGATTCAGAGCAGCAAAATAAATAATGTTACAACTCATGCTCACCCTTCGCCGGTATGTCATGAGCGGGGAGGGGATGAGGAGAATAAGACACTTGAGCCCCATGAAGAAAAACTTCAAAATGAAGTTAGTCACACCGACACTCCATAAAACCTCCCAGAAGTTATGAGAATCTATTGTAGCGTTGGCAAAAATGAGGCTGAGGGATAAAAGAAAAAAGAGAGAGACGATTATATTTACATGGTACGTATTTGTCATTTAGTGGACATTTGGTTATTTAGTTGATATATTACACTAAACGTAGAACAGTTTGTGGTGAAGTGAGGTTTGGTGATACAATGTAAAGCACTTACCAGCGATAAAGTGACTGGGTGTGAAAAGTGTACAACACGAGGAGACTGGAGGATGTGAGGAACAGCAAAAGCCAGGCACAATGCAACTTTGTCCTTCGGTCCTTTATACAGGAGAAAAAACAAAGGAGCCATCAGATTATTATTATTATTTTTTTTTTTTAGTTTTAGTTATATATAAATAAATATACACACACACAAACTCAACCATTCAAAAGTTTGGGGTTAGTAAGATCACATGATGTGTCAAATGATCCTTCAGAAATCATTCTAATATGCTCATTTGGTGCTGAGGAAACATTTCTTATTATTATCATTGTTGAAAACAGTTGTGCTGCTTAATATTTTTGTGGAAATAGTATTACTTTTTTACCGGATTCTTTAGCGAGTAGAAAGTTCAAAAGAACAGCATTTATTAAAAGAGAAATATTCTGAAACATAAATATATTTACTGTCACTTTTAATCAATTGAATATAAATGTTTATATTGAGTTTTTATATTGCTCTTGATGTGAATAGACTTTTGCGCATGAAGCAAATTTGCTCAAGGGCACAATCGTCAAAGTTCATAGATCACCACAACAGATGAACCTATAACCCTACTTAGAGGTGTTACGAGCACTGATCTATAACTCCCATGTTAAATATCAAATAATATGGTAGACTCACGTTGAGAAAGACTTGCGTTTGAATACTTTTGTTGACATACATAAAGGTGGTAAACAAACCAACTGCAACAGCCAGACCTACAGAAAAATAACAACACAGACGTGTGACAGACGTAATGACCTTTACACATCATAACTACTGCATAAACAGCTGTTCTCACTAACACGTACCCAGGGCATGCTGGATGACTAGTTTCGCGCAGAGAATAACTATGAAGGGAAGACTCTTCTTGAGCCAGCGCAGGAGGTAGCGCAGCTCCGATAACGAGCTGCTGGATTCTCCGGACTCCAGGTCAGACTCGCTGCTGTCGGACTCGTGCTCGTGGCTGTGTGCGTGCTCGTGGCTGTGTGTGTGTCCGTGGCTGTGGCTCGCTGCT